TCATCATTTATTTTAGAAATAAAATCAGATGTGTCCTGGGCATAAGATAAAGGCCCTTTTGCTATAAGAGATCAAAATAACTGGTTACTCAGTGATTTTTGCCATACAACATTTATATCCGCTTCAAAGTGGAGGAAATTTATCAAATTCTTTATATATTTTTGGAAGGTCGTAAAACATTGGTGTTCTTTGCTATGAAAGTAATAAGTTAGACTGTTTTATTCATATAACTATTTTCTTTCATTTCAGAAATTATCTTGTCTATCTTTTTTCTGCAATAAGGGTACAGGTCTATTTTTATTTCTTCATAAAAACTTTTGTCCCTTAAAACTTCTTCACAAGCCAAAATATAGTTCTTCTTATTCAGAATAACAATAACACTTCCGTTGTCTGCCATTTTTATGACAATTGGATCATCATTGGCAAAACGACGAGGAGCGTTATATTGCAAAGTTGAAAGGTTGTTCCAGGTTTTGTTATGGTTTGAATTTATGTTTTCTCTTATAACAGCCGGACAGATTTCCAAAAATTCTATGAGCGACTATGAGCGTCCCTCTTGGAATACTTCTGGATAACAGGGTGGATTTTTATTAACCCAATTCTGCCAGATTCTATCACAATCTTTGTCTTTGGTTGTAATTCTTGTAGGATTTTCGCCATTATTTTTTTTGAAAAAATATTCCTTCAGTTTGTGAGGACAGACAAATTGAAATCCATTCTTAGCTAATGTATTTTTTTCAAATACTTTCTAATACTTGGGTAAATATTCAGTCGAAACTCGAAAACAGAAATTTCATTTGGAGAAAGCTTTAAATTTGATAAATTTATTACAACCTTATTTTCCAGTGTGTTTGAAATTTTTGAGGGAGTATTGAAATTGGAATTATATTTTTTTGAAAGTTGTCCGTGTGTGTCAAGCATTGGAACATTTTGACATTCTTCTCTAAGCACATGGAATTTGTTTCATGTCAGAATTTATTACGCTGGTTTCTAATATAAGTTATGAGAATATTTAGCAGGTCTTTTGGGAGTGACCCATATTTGAGTAAGTAATAAGGTTTTACATTATTTACATTATTCGGACTATTGTCCTCATATTTGTCGCCATATTTATCACAACGTTTCAGGTGTTTGGAATGTTGAACTGAACCCTTTATTTCGCTCACTGGGGTAGACTGTTCTAGTTCCATGTGCCTTGTTTAATCGATGTCAGTTATCAGTTATCTCCTGTTAATTTCCCTCTGAAAGTTCTCCACTGCCTTAACCGGGTATTGAACTCACACTCTTTGGGTCCTGTCACTGGATCTAACCAACACCTTTAATCTACTGTGTCATGTGTCCTCAAGGACAAAGGCACATGGCGACAAAGATGAGGACAATAGTCTTAATAGTAAATAATGTACATAATACATCATCTTAGAAATATAGACAGATACTGGTAAGGATTTAGTTGTGTCTATTGTATATGCTGATATGAGATGAATTTTGGTTTTCGGGAAGGACATTGAAAATGCGACGTCATTTTAGATTGGTCAAACAAAAACTTTTTTGGAGAATTTCCTATGACTAATTCGAAAGCATATGTTAGGACATAAAGTCCACAATGAAATGGTCTGACTTGAGGACTGGATATATGAAATTGTTTTATAATAGGAATTATTTTAGCTTATGGTGTGTAGAGTGATGTTATTTGTATAGTGAGTTCTTGAGATACAGGTATGTTTCAAGTAGCATAATTATATACGTCTCCAAAAAAGTTAATTGACAAAGTAAAATGTAGCTTTTTTGTGGTATATAAAAATTGTGCAGTGTGGGTAATATGTGAGGAGATGGGAAAAGATAGAAGCTTGTATTGAAATTTACAGTAATTTGTGTCAAGCCAGCGTTCACAAGTCAGCCTCATAACATTTGTAAAGAAACTAAATAAGTTTTTTCCATGTTTTTCAAATTGAAAGATTGCAGCCAAAATTCTTCTCCAGTACTAGCAGTAGAATGAATATACTGTAATCTTTTTAGCTTCATCACTTTCTTTCAACTTGAAAAGGAAATTTCCTTGTTCTTGAGGTTTCCTAGACAATTATATAAATGAGTGAAATGGGATTCAGATGAACAAATCTGTGTGAGATCATTTAATGTTGTTTCAATTTCCGTATTGAGAGTGATAAATTTAGAATTATGTATATTATTTTATTATATTAATTATATTATAATAGTTATAATAATAAAAGAATATATGTGTGTGTGTTGGATGTTAACAGCCGAGTAGAATTCACGATTGTTTTCAAACTTATCCCATACAAACCTGTAGACCAGATTGATTGATTTCCATTCCAAACCAGGTGACAATGCCACTAGGACATGGTGTGTAGGCATTGCTGGGAGTGAAAGAGAATAAGAAGACTTTAGAGAGTAGTAAAGACAATAAAAGAACAGGTTTCTGGTAGACAGAAGATGGTGATAATGCCAGTAGGACGCAAAGGATTGCTGGGAGTGAAAGAAGACTTTAGTTAGGAAAAAGGACAATAAAAAAAAAAAGAAGATTTCAGGAAGACAGAAGATGGCGAAAATGTCACTAGGACTAAAGGGGTTGCTGGGAGTGAAAGAGAATGAGAAGATTTTCATGAGGAGAAAGAACAATAAAAATATAGGTTCCGGGAAGACAGAAGATGGCAATAATGCCACTAAGACGCAAGGAGTTGCTAGGAGTGAAAGAGAATGAGAAGACTTTAGCGAGGAGAAAGGACAATAAAAGAACAGGTTTCAGAACAGAAAATATAGCGATTGGCATTGCATTTAAATTTTTGATTGTTTTGAATCTTTTTTTACTTTGGTTTGCTGGGAGTGAAGAAAAATAAGACTTTAGGAGTAGGCACTAGAACCCGAATCATGAACAGAGGAAAAAAAGATGAACATCTACTCCTGTTCAAAAGACAATCTATCAACATAAAGTGAGGGATCTCTTTTCTATTGTTATTGAGTAATAAACTTAAACCTCAGCAATTCATATAACTTGCACAGGACATAAAGTGAGTGATCAGCTTTCTGTTGTTATTAAGTAATAAACTGATCTTTCAATGATTATTATATAAATATCACAATAGACATAAAGTGAGGGATCTCTTTTTCATTGTTATTAAGTTATAAACTGATCCCTAAACAATTAATGTTTTTATTCATTGATTTATCCACTTATTAATGTCTTTGCAGGATATTTATAATCAGAAAATATTTTTAGAGTAAGACTATTTTGGGGAGGTGGTGCGGAAGGGTGGATATTAAGAATAATTTGTAAAAAGAGTTAGAAAGAAATAAATCTATATTTTTTTAAGGTTGTATTGAAATTTTATTTAAGTTTCCACATGTCCTCCATCATTAGCAATACAAAGGGTAATACGATTTTGCAATTCACGGAAAACATTTGCCAACTGATTTACAGTAATGCCTGAAATCACATTAGTTATTTTAGCTATACTTAAAACTAGGTATATTAAACTTTATAACATTCATTACAGATTATTTCTATCGCAAATAAAAATAAAGTTATAAATTTTTTAAAGTGCACCTGAACTTTATGGACACCCTGTATATATGTAAAAATGAATTGATAATAAAACTAAGATTAGATACTTGGTTATTTTTCCTTATGGCCTTACTCTTATTTCTTTACAAATTTTACTTGACATTTTCAAAAATTTCTCCAGAGAAATCTGCCCATCATAAATTGGGATGATGATGGGTTAGGTTTCTTAGGGAACATGTTGAATGTAATTTCTGGAATGTGTTATTATTTACATGTGGACTATTATCATCATCTTTGTTATTATTACAGTTTGGCCATTGTGTCTTCCAGCCTTTATCTGGTATTTGCTAATCTGGGTAGCCTATAGCAAATTTTTCTACTGAACCTTTTAATTAATCTATTCAAAACGATTTGTTCTCCTTCCAGACAAGATATTCCTAAACATGGACAGCAGAATGAGAATATTTTAAAGGTTAGATTAAATAAAGGGTTTGGTTCAAAATTCCATGTTCGTTATCCCAGATTGACATACTCTGATGATGGCTGGAAATACAATGGTTGGAACGTTAACAACAACAACAATAGATATGGACAATAGTTTGTTATTTAAATAATTTTTAATGTAAACAGAAAAACATTACGTTTTTTTTTTTTTTTTCCTTCTAAAGGTTTTATTTTCTATTTATTCTCGTAATATTGGAAATTCTATATATAACCTAAGTTTATATTTCCAAGCCATAAGCATTTTCAAGGCTAAAATCCATTTCTCACCCACTTCACTGTCAAAACTTCTCAATGTAGCCATCTCTTCTTTCCAATAGCTTCATGTCTTGCACCTCTCGCCTGTGGAACTCCTTCCCTATTCCAAATTTCCCTTCAAAAATAATCTCCAGCTATTCAAATGTAATGTCAATCGACATCTCAGTTGCCTTGATCTATCCATACCCTTCTTCTCATCCTTTCTTCTATCAAAAATCTGATCTTCTCCAACCCCTTTATATCCTAGTGGCCTCTCAACTTGATATGGGTGAAACACTTTAAAAAAAAAAATGTCAGTTCAAGCCTTGTGTATGAAATTATTAGGTAGACAAAATTATTAGGGAATTTTGAAGTGAACACTATGGGGATATTTGTTATTGCTCCAGATGAAATATTCTTAGATGTGGGTAGTGGTATGAGATAGATAGAATAAAAGGTTTGGTTCAAAATTCCCTGTATGTTACCTGGATCAACAAGCACCTGATGAAGACTGGGATGTACAATGGCCAAAATATTGTAAATCAACAAAGATTAGGATAATAATCTGCAAGATTAGGATAATAATCTGCATGTATATAGTGTAAATAATGATAAACTGTTACTCTAGAAATTCAGACAGAAAATAAAATTAATTATTTAAAAAAAAAAAAGAAATCAATAAAAATATCTGTTTTATTTTGGATTTTCTCTATGGATGTTTTTTTTTTTTTTTTTTTTTTAGAAGTATGCCTTTTTTCAAGAACCATGTCCAGTGCATTCACCAGAAGAATTAGCCAACTTAAAATATATCCAGCCATACGTGAGCTTTTTATCCAAAGCAACCTTTTGGTGGATAACGAGCCTGATGCGGAAAGGTTACCGTCATGTTTTGGAGCTACACGATCTTGGAAAGCTACCAATGGTGAATTAGAACATTTCTCCATTAAAATTTCCATTTACTTACCTATATTTCATATATATATATATATATATATATATATATATATATATATATATATATATTAATTTTCATTCAAACAAAAACCAAATATAGAGGTTAATGATTTAAATGGTGGAGAATACATTTGTTTTTGGTCAATAAATACACTAACCCCGAACCTGTATATGAAATGATATGATCCCTGTTTATAAATTCCATTGCATACGGTCTGATTTTTTTATAAGCTTTTTTGTGTGTTCCTTTTTTGCCACATCTTCATAAAATTGGAAATAGATTTGTTCTTGTTTTTTTAACAAAAGGTAATAAGAGTATGTTCTTTTATATAGATGTAATCCAAAAAAATGCTAACAAATCTATTTCCATAATAAGGATATATGCAAGAATAAACGAAAGCAGATAAAAAAAAAAAGACCTGAAACTTGAATTTTTAAACAGGGATCATATCATTCATATACAGGTTTGGTAAAGTGTAAATTTAAAAATTGTTTTAGAAGATGTTTAAAGCCTTTTAAATCATTAACCTCTTTATTTTTTTTTTTGTGAATGATTCAAGTAATTATTTAGTAAACAGCAATATAATAGAAATATATATATATATATATATATATATATATATATATATATATATATATATATATATTTTCAAAAATTTGTTGATAGGTATGGATATGAGTTTGTGAGCCTAGGTTTCACATTTTTTCAATCATCAGGAGTTTGTCTGATGATGACAAAAGCATGAAATTATTTTAGGGTCAAAAAATATATCCATGCAATTTATCATTTTAATCAAACACTGATATTGAACTCTTTTTACTAATTACTGCGAATCATAAAATATAATATATATATATATATATATATTATTGTATGCCAAACACGTTTTTTATTTATTAAAATCAGGCAGATAAAAATTTCAGGAAACCGACAGCCCATGACACTAATGAATTTGATTATAGTGGTGAAGGCCTCCACTGCAGGACCAAACAAAATTTGGAGGGAACCATACAGAAACCTTGCACCAATGCCACAAGGTTCCCAAACGAAAAATTTTTGGTTTTGAATTTCAGAATTGTCCTTCTCCATAGACCAGTTGCCAACCAAAGCTATAGAACCCAGTCTGTCCTGCTATTTTACCCATAGCTGGAGGAGATGAAGAGGATTCATACCTTTTCCCAAAGGTATTAAGACATTTGAAATTTGTCATGGATTCGATTTTTTTTGTTGTTCATCAATTCCTCAATCCAAGCAAACAATCAATCCATTGGTTCCACCGTGTTTTATATATATATATATATCAATATATATATATATATATATATATATATATATATATATATATATATATATATATATATATTTATGCTAAGTCTCATCTCATTTAAAATACCCCAAATCTATAATACATGCCCCTCCACTCTACTTACACATCTCAATTTTCATAAGGTAATATTCATATAAAATATAAATTTGATTGTAAACTAATTATTTACAAGAAGGAATCATTTGCAATATCAGTGAACAATTCAACAAGAAAAATTGAAAATAAATCCAATGTATCTAAATACAAATTAGAACTAATAATAATAGATCATTCCATCTTAAATAAATCAACAATGTGTTGCGACAATTTTTAACATCAACTTGAGATTTTTCTTATTAAAAACTTGAATAATTTAATTAACACATTCAAAATTATGGTTAAAAATAAGTGAATTTTATATAGTGTTTTTTTTTTAGACTTAGTGTGAGCAAAACAAATTCACATATTTGGACATACTTTTCATCCTGTAGTAGTCAGGGTTTGTTTAATTGTTAATATACAGGGTGTCCATAAAGTTCGTGTGCACTTTAAAAAATTTATAACTTTATTTGTATTTGCAATAGAACTAATTTGTGAAAAGGATTAGAAAGAAGTAAATCTATATATTTTAAGGTTTTATTGAAATTTTATTTAACTTTCCACATGTCCTCCATCATTAGCAATACAAACGGTAATACGATTTTGGTGTTCACAGAAAATATTTGCCAACTGATTTACAGTAATGCCTGAAATCACATTAGTTATTTTAGCTATACTTAAAACTAGGTACATTAAACTTTATAACATTTTTTACAGATTATTTCTATCGCAAATAGAAATAAAGTTATAAATTTTTTAAAGTGCACATAAACTTTATGGACACCTTGTAGTTCATTCTTCTTGACATTCAAATGACATGCATGGATTTAAAAATAAATTGTTGCCTCAAAAAAATAATAATAATAAAACACTTTTTAGAACAAGATAAAGACAAAAGGGCAAAGTTTTCCTGTTTACATCCAAGATTATTTACAATATTTATTATATGAACTTTATGGACACCCTGTATATAAATGTCGGTAGAAAAAAAAGCAAATGTTGATAAGATAGCAATAATAACAAAGCACTATTTGGGACGGCCAATTGCTGGATTTTGTAAATAATCTCGTGATATATAGCAGGAGTCCCACACCAGATACGGCAGCAATATTAAATGCATGGATGGACAGATGGTAGAGTTATAAATGCGTAAGATGAATTCTGACGAGAAAAATTGTTTGGCATGACAGTGAACCAACTTTCCTAACAAGACCAAAATTTATATTTTTTTTAATCCAAGGCAATAAAGCCACTAAGACACAAGTGGTTACTGAGTGTGAAGGAATAAGAAAAAAGTGAAATATTATTAAGGAGCCAGAACAATAGAAGAGTAATCAAGAGGACAGTAGATAACGATTGACATTGCATCAAAGTAGGCTGGAAAGCACAGAGCCAGAAGACAGTTCCACAAGGAAGACATGCAAGAACAGAAGTTGTTAGCATAGAACTTACAGTTATGTCAAGCCAAATATATATAGGTCAGGAGGTCAGTTGAATCCGCTACTTTGGTTTCAACTTTATGATATCCTCAGGCGATTTTTATCAAATGACCTCTTAACACTTTTTAAAAAAAAAACTATATATATATATATATATATATATATATATGCTATATTATTATTTTTTAAAAATAAACAAACGTACAATTTTTAAAGTCAAAAGCTCAACATGTTATTTTTACTTTTATTTTATTAATTTTGTTTGCATGTGTATTCAGCACTTTTTTTTAAAATTTGTTTTCTGGTCTGATTCCAATCATACCATTTAACTATATATATGAAGTCGTCAAAAAACAAATGTTAATTGATTTACGACAGTTTTTATATATAAAAACCCTTTCAGATAAAAAATAAAAAATAAAATAAAAAAATAAATAAATCTCCATATACGCTTTTCATATATATAGGCAATGTCTTCTTCCACTTTAAATTTAGACAATGATCAAACCTTAATCTGACTTGACATCTTAGAATGTAACTGAGATATTGATACAAATTATTAACACCTTACCCCTTTTTCTTTAAACAATTGCTCTAGCTGTTACCATAGAAATTTTGATTTTAATAATGAATATGCTTATAAAACGTAAAATTTCAGAAATAAGTTATTCCAAAAAAAAAATTCTTTGAAAACAACAGAGCTTAGTACTTTAATTCAATTTAATTTGAATAATTATATTGAAGTTTTTCGGCTCTTATTTTGAAACATGAGAACTCTTATGTAGCGTGTTGGAAACATATTTTAAATAAATAATTATATATATATATATATATATATATATATATATATATATATATATATATATATATATATATATATATATAATAAGTTTTAATTTTGGATAACATACAAATTTGAGGAATTGGAGAAATTAGTTCAAATTGAGTTCACAAACAAACCTTCATTTATGTGAAATACCCTTAGGATGGTATGAATACTTTCTGGGACTTATTCCCATATAAAATTGAAATATGATTTATAGACTGGGTTCTATAGCCTTAAATGGCAACTGTTCTACTGTAGAAAGAAATTAAACCTAAAAATTCAAAAAATCTGCCTTGTCAGTCATGTAAAGAAAAGCTATTTTAAATCAAATAAAATGTTATATCACTCATGGCACATAACTGACTGATATATATATATATATATATATATATATATATATATATATATATATATATATATATATATATATAATTTATATTGATTACTATTTTGTAAAAATAGAAAAATATCAATAAGAACAAAGGATTATATATCTTACTCTTCTTTTTTTATATATATATATATATATATATATATATATATGTATATATATATATATATTCAATAATAAATAATTTGTTTTTTGAATTTTTGAAAGAGATTGAGACATTTGTCAAATGTGGATTTAGATTGGCTGTTGTTAAATTTCAAATCTTGTTCAATCAGTTTAAGGTTAATCTGAACTAATCTCTTTCAGAGGATTATCTGTTGGATTAGCACTGATTAAAACTTAATGAAACCACATTGTGTTCCTTCACCCCTCTCATTGGTGTTTGTTCATTTTGATTGGAGACACATAACACGGCTTTGTCCAAATGTGATGCAGATTCATTTTTGCCCAACTGTCCCATAGATGATATCATTTCCATGATCACTTGTTGCATTCACTTTCACACCAATACCCTTGAGAAAGAAATGAATTCTTTTCTCCTCCATCCCCAGATCAAAGCACATGGAAGACTGGTCTCCCCTAATCTTGTGTGGTAAGCTGATCTAATTCGGGAGAAAGACTATTTTTAATGTAAAACCTTGAAGAAGGCAACAGGAGGACACAACACTATCATCCCCAATATATCAATTCAGACTTGTTAGTCATCTCAATTAATCTCATCTAAAATAGATTCAAGAATACCTGCAAAATAAAATTTTCGGACCTTTCAGTCCATATGTTATCAAAATAATCTATCTATCTATCTATCTATCTATCTATCTATCTATCTATCTATCTATCTATCAGTCATGTGCTATCTATCTATCTATCTATCTATCTATCTATCTATCTATCTATCTATCAGTCTGTTTGTATTTATCTATATAAATCTGTTTTATCTAAGTCTGTTCATATCTATCTATCTACCTGTCTTTTTCATATCTATCTATATGACTGTTTTATCTAAGTTTGCTCATATCTATTTGTCTATCTCAGTCTGTTCATTTCTATGTATCTATCTCAGTTTGTTCATATCTATCTATCTATATCAGTCTGTTTTACCTAAGTCTGTTCATTATCTATCTATCTATCTATCTATCTATCTATCTATTTCAGTCTTTTTCATATCTATCTATCTATCTATCTATCTATCTCAGTCTGTTTGTATCTATCTATATAAATTTGTGTTTTATTTAAGTCTGTTCAAATCTATCTATCTATCTATCTATCTATCTATCTATCTCAGACCTTTCCATATCTATTTATATAAGTCTGTGTTTTATCTAAGTTTGTTCATATCTATTTGTCTATCTATCTTAGTTTGTTCATATCTATCTATCTATATCAGTCTGTTTTACCTAAGTCTGTTCATTATCTATCTATCTATTTCAGTCTTTTTCATATCTATCTATCTATCTATCTATCTATCTATCTATCTATCTATCGCAGACCTTTCCATATCTATCTATATAAGTCTGTGTTTTATCTAAGTTTGTTCATATCTATTTGTCTATCTATCTCAGTTTGTTCATATCTATCTATCTATCTATCCATCTATGAAGTCTATAAAGCCACAAAAAAAAAATGAAAAATACTGAGTGTTAGAGAAATAAGAAAAAAATTATTATTTAATGAATATACAATAAAAGAAGATTAATCAAAAAACAAGATAACGATTGACATTGCATTTGAACGGGAAACGGAAAGTGGGAAAAAAGTTCTACAAGCAATAAGTGCAATAGAAGAACCTATTAGCCTAGAACTTATATATATTCATCTAGCTATTTCATATATGTCAAAATGATGAAACCTTGCCGAAAATCTAATACTCCATAAATTCATAAAGTTAAATGTTTTTTATAGCAATCATCTGCACAATTGCCATGAAAGAATTTATTTTAATCACAGAGAAGCTTTTATTATGGTGGTGGGAAAATTTATGACACCAAGATGTCATATCAGTATATCAATGTCTTTTTGATTCTTCATTGGATTTTATCAATAATTTATAAATATATATAAAGATTTATACCAGATGTGGCAGCAGTATTCAAAGCAAGGACAAATGGTAGACTTCATGTCTGTGGAAAACATTAGTCCGAAAAGGCAGAATGAATTACTCTCATGGAGGTTAGCATCCGCCATGCTGATGGAAGGCAAAAACGGTTCTCTATCATTTTGGAGGTGTTAAAATTAACAAGCCACTCCTTGCTCCAGTTAACAGCAGATTGTAGGTCACTTTTGAGGTCAGCTGCCAATTTGACCTTAATGAACTGATCAGATTTACTTTTAAGACAGAAGTAAATAGTTGTCATCAGCATAGTGTTGTGAGAGAGAATATTTCCCTACAAGTTTGGACTCGGCTGTTGGTTGAAAAATAAAAGGGTTTACATCAAGAGAAAAAGCAGGAGGAACAAAAATATTTGCTGAAAAAATTATTCATTCAATTTTAAACATTCTCTTCCTTATTTTATATTCTATATTATATGTCCCTGTACCAAAAGGTAATAAACTTTTTTTTAAAAAATTCTGGTTTTTTCAAATACATTGTTTTGATAACTCAGTTACAAAAATTTTTAATGACAAGGATAATTAAATTGATAGTTCGTTTCATGCTTAAACAAATCATCATGCCATGTCATATATTTAAACATGAAAAAGACTGTCACTGTTTTATATATCGACTTAAATGTCCACTTTTATATTTACATACACTCTATCATTTGTGCACTTTTAAAAATAATATTAAAACTATTAAAAATCATATATATATATATATATATATATATATATATATATATATATATATTGAGGGATCTTAATTATCAGGGAAGGGAAGAGTCTTGCAATGTTAGTAGTAATAGTCATTGTTTACAAATTCACACTCATCTTCCAAGAGTGCACAACCAAATTTAAATTTCTTAGATGCATGTGTGTGTGTGTATATATATATATATATATATATATATATATATATATATATATATATATATATTTGAACGATTGACTCTTTATCGGTAATTGATTCAGTTATGAAATTTTGTGCATTAATCTTAAGTGGCACTTAAGACCCGCTAGTGATTTACAAAGGAGGCCACATATAGAGCAAGAGTGAGAATTGTGAGGTGTGATCACTGTTAGATTGGCTAACCTTTTAGATCTTGCTCTTGCTTTTTGAAGATGATTCAGACAAGCAGATTGAAAACAGCTGAGTCCACTAAAACACGTTGATCTCCATTCTACCCGCTCCAAGGCTAAATGCTCCAGGGTGTTATGTGGTATATTGACTGCTGACAAGTTGCTTTTCAGCTTGTCTTTGTATCTTAGCCATGGGCGTCCTACATTCCTGTAGCCCTGATCTAACTGGCTGTACATTAGGATATTAGGTATCCTGTCATGAGACATTCTCAAGACATGATCAGTCCACCATAACAGAGATTCCTCCAATATTACACCTGTTAAACAGGTCTACGTTAGATGTTCTATCTTGAAGGTTAACTTCACAGATTGCACGACAGCTTTTATAGAAAACACCCGGCTGGCATATATGGTACCTGTATGGAGTCCACAACTATGATCCGTACAAAAGGATGGCAAGTACAACAGCTCCATAAGCCCGAATATATATATATATATATATATATATATATATATATATATATATATATATTTTGTGATGAAGGCAAAAATATAAAAGTAAAATAAATTTTGTAATAACAAATCAAAGATAAGACAATAGTCTGAATGTAACTAGTGTATATAATATATATAATGTAATGGATGTCATTCAATAAATAAGGTGAATTTTTTCGGTATAAGGACTTCTAATACAGATAGAAATGAGGACTTTTTTTTATTTTTTTAACAGTCTCCCAGCACTACAGACATATTTTCCCATCTTTGCACAAAGCTTCCGTATTCCCTCAGTGTAAAATCTTTGGACTGATGTCTCAGCCAGTCCTTTTTATATGGCTCTATTGAATATTCATTTTACTTTATAAATTTTGTGCCTCTCAAAATGCTTTCAAGGGACCAAACAGGTGAAAGTCTGAAGGGGCAAGGTCTAGGCTAAAAGGAGGATAAGGAGATGTTTATAGCCCAGCTCGTTGATGGTCTGAACAGTTTGTTCTGCTGTGTGAGGCCTTAAGTTGTCATGATGCAAGATAAGGACTTCTGATTGATGACCCCTACTTTTTTTTTATGTCTTTCTTGATCTGCCTCAGCAGTTCACAGATTTCCATATCTGTTCACAAGTTTTATTCATCAAGGAATGAAAATAATGATTGGACTGATGTCTCAAAAGCTAGTGAGCATCACCTTCCAACACTTTTGACTTGAACTTCATCTTTTAAACTTCTTTTCTCCCATGGACTGTCATTTCTCGTCACAATTGACCAAACAGGTTCAGAAACTTTGACCATCCTTCTCATATGGAGAGACACTGATGGGACAATTTCCAAAAATTTGATGGTCTGCATTTAAGCATCTTTGGGCAATGCTGTGCTGACCTTCCTTGTATTGTCATATGCATCATGGACTCCTTCTGAATTTTGACCCCTGCGTTTAAGCTTTAAGTCCTTGCAATGTCATCCACTGTTCACAGTAGTTCTGTCAGACTGAATGAGGTCATTGACTGATTCGATCCCCTCAGGAGACCTCACTTCTGTAGGCCTCCCAGGCCTGTCTTCATCCTCAATACTGCTGCGTCCTTCTTTAAACAATTTAGCCCACTTGTAGACATTTTTTGGCTGAAACATGTGGCACCATACACAGTTGACATTCTCCTATGAATTTCAACTGGTTTGCACCTTCAGCAAAAAAAAACTTGATAACTGACCGCTGTTCAATCCTGGAGCATGCTTCTTGGTCGGCCATCTTTGTTAATCGCCAAAACATTCTCAAAGTTTTTTTTTAATCTGCAAAAAGAATTAAATCCATGTGAAAAAAAGTAAAAACAAAACAAAAAAAAAAAAAAAAAGTAAAAGATATCTATCTGTAATAGAAGTCCTTATAACGAAAAAATTCACCTTATTTATTGAATGACCCTCATATAAGGATTTCTTTTTTGAGTTGTGATACTGATCAATCCGCCACCAGCATTTAATATAGTTCAAAAAATACTATATTTACATTATTTGGACCATTGTCCTCATCTTTGCAGATGGGCATTTTTATTAATCACACACTTTGGCTGTTTTATGCTCCAGAAATTTCATTTTGGAATGTTGAACTGAACCTTTTAACTCACTTATTTATACTGTTTCTAGTTTTACCATGTGCCTATAACAGCCTACCCCAGTGAGCAAAAAAATGGTTCAGTTTGACATTCCAACCACCTGAAGAAGGTTGAGCATACAACAGCCAAAATATTGTAATAAATATATGGAATAAAGATGATGACAATATTCTGAATAATGTAAATAGTGTACATAATACCTCATCTCAGAAATATAGACAGATACTGAGGTATGCTATATTTATGTGTAAAAAGTGCTTAATATCAGAGACTGAGTCTATATAAATATAAACGTGGACACTGAAGTCAACCCCCAGTGCTGATGGTCTGTTTCATGCCTGAAGTCAATCTTTATGTCACCAGAATGCCCAAATATATATTAACCTTTCCACCCCAAACAAGACAAAAAAGCCACTAAGACATTAGGTGTTACTGAGTGTGAAAGAAGAAAAAAGAGAAATATTATTAAGGAGCAAGAACAATAAAATAAGAGGAATTAAGACGACAATAGATAATGATTGACTTTGCATTTAAATTTTTGAAGGTTAAAGTTGGCTGGAAAGTTTGCAGGCAGAAGAGAGTTCCTCAAGCAAGAAGTGTGAGAAAAGAAAATTTTTGCATAGAACTTACAATTACATCTTGCCAAGTCTGCACATAGAAACCTGCAAAATGTCAATGATGGCTTTTTAGCAAATGATTGAATTTAAATTCATTCCGAGGACTGACTGACATTTAAACTGATTTTGTATTTGGGTCAGCCCTTATTTCTCACACACTGAACTGTACCAGTTTGGGATAATAAAAGCAAACTTATATATATATATTAGCAAATGAGGCAAACTAAGACCTTCATGCCCACACAAAAAACAAATTAGTGCCAAAAGAATGTTTTTTTTCCCTTGACACCACTATTATTTTAACTACCTTCACTCCTGAGAAATGTTTATTGTTTTAAAAAGTTGGTTGGTTGGTTGGTTGTTTTGTTTTATGGCATATCAACCTCAGTGGGTCATTTAATGCCAACAAAATTTTTGAAATAGATTCATAGTGATAGTTTGGTAAAAAATGTATATATATATATATATATATATATATATATATATATTTGAACCATTTTTCAATTACTCATATTTTTTTTGAGTTTATCTCATGTATTGCTGGTAAATATTTTTTTTTCAAAACCGGTAATTTTTTGGTAATATTTTTTTTCCAAAATATATTGCAAGTAATTTTTTTTTTCTTCAAAAATGTTTTTCTGGTAATAATTTTTTATTTTATTTCTGGTATTAAAACCTTTTTTATAGTTTTTTTCTTTTATAATGCTTTTTACCTCAGTATCGTGGTTAACTATTTGCCCATAGCTGGGACCCTAACAGGTGCTACCACTCTGGGTCAGGGTGGACCTGGGAACACCAGCAATTAAGAGGTGGTTCCACACTCCTCAAAACCTGCTGTTGGATGTAGTTTATCGTCTTACCCTGGACACGTATGAAGTTTATCGTCATACCCAGGACGTGTTTTAAAAAGTGATGTTTAGAATTGTAATAAAGCCTAAACATATGATGAAAGTAAATTTATACATTTTTTGTTCTTGAGAATTGACAACAAAAATATTAAACACTATTTATTTAAGTGAATATATTAATTAATTCGTTTTTTAGGGTTTATCAACCTTTTGTAGCTTATTGAAAATTAGAAAATATTTTTAGATTCTAAGAATTGTTTAGAATATAGTAATGAATTACTGATACAAGTCTTACTAATTCATTTCAGTTAGGGGAGAAGAAAAATAGTTTATAATTTTCCCAAAAATATTTTTATAAAATTTATGAACATATTGATATGAAGCATTTTTTTTTTTTTTTTGTCAGTTTATCAACCTTTTTAAAGGAATATAAATTTTTAAAGCCAGAAAATATTTTTTAAGATTTAAAAGAATTTTTCCTGGAGATAATAATGTTTTAGTAGAAAAGTCTTACTAATTAAAAAATTTGAAAAAAGAGAGGGAGGTAGATTCAGATCTAATCAGAATTTGATAAACAAACAAGAAATTATAATGTGGATATAAAGTGGGGGATCAATTCTACATTACAATTAATATAGGAACTGATCTCTCACTTTGTGTCCATGGCAGTTTCTATATATTTATATTCCAGAGAATGTAAATAAATCTAAAAGACATGCCTGTGTAGCTAATCAGTATTTAATTGATTGATTTGTTTTCTATGGGTTATCAACAAACAAGAAATTATAATGTGGATATAAATTGGGGGATCAATTATAGGTTACAACAATATAGAAATTGATCCCTCACTTTGTGTCCACGGTAGTTTCTATGCATTTCTATTCCAGAGAATGTAAATAAAGAAATTCTATATTCCACCATATTTGAACCAAGTCTTGATTCGATGCGTCTTTACCAGAAATAAAGTTTCTGCATGCGCTGTATATTTATATAACAGAAACATCGGTGCATATCTGTGCATTTGAGAAAGATGAGGGGTGATGTTGATGGATGAAAGCTGAAGCAGGGGATTTGCAAATACAAATGACTTTTGGCAAGTGGATTTAGACAGATTATCTGTGAATAACAGATTTAGTCAACCTTAGATCTTGGAAACAAATATAAACAAAATTCGACAATTAGAAAAGTACATGAAATTAAAAATCTAAATATGTTATTCATGATTAAAATCATGAACTGATGAGCAAAAGATTTATGACTCGGGGTACGCAATAAGCATAACAGCTACTGTCTCATAACAATTGTGTATGTTAGTGTCAGATTTATGTAAACAGATAAGCCAGTCGTGAATACTTCCTTTAAATACACAGATATGAACAGATTGAGATAGAGAGATAGATATGAACAGATTGATTGATTCATTCATTTTCTACAGCTTATCAATCCTTTAAAGGTTATTTAAAGCCAGAAATATTTTTAGATTATAAAAATTTTTTTTTTTTGTATTTTTGGAGATAATAATAATTTAGTGATACAAGTGTTACTAATTAACCCATAGCTGGGAGGAGAAGAGGTAGATTCATGCCTAATCAGAATTTGATAAACAAGCAAGAAATTTTGATGTGGCTATAAAGTCAGAAATCAATTCTACATTACAATTAATATATAAACTGATCCCTCACTTTGTGGCCATAATAGTTTCCATACATTTATATTTCAGAAAATGTAAATAAATCTAAAAGATATGCCTATGTAGCTTATCAGTATTTGATTGATTAATTAATTCATTTTTTTATGGTTTATCAACCCTTTGCATGTTATTCAAAGCTAGAAATATTTTTTAGATAGTGAGAATGTTTTTGTTTTGTTTTTGCAAATAATAATGATTTAGTGATACAAGTCTTACTAATTAATCCATAACTGGGGGGAGAATACATTGATTCATACCTATTCAGAATTTAATAAACAAACAAGAAATTATAATGTGAATATAATGTGAGGGATCAGTTCTAGATTACTATTGATATATAAAGTGATCCCCCATTTTTCTGCCACAGTAGTTGCTATACATTTATATTTCAGATAATGTAAATAAATTTAAAACATATACCTATGTAGCTAATCAATATTTCAGTGATTAAGTTATTTTTTACAGTTTATTTGCTGGTTATTTAAAGCCAGAAAATATTTTTAGATTGAATATTTTTTTCTTTTTTGAGATCATAAAAGTTTAGTGGTACTATCCTTAATAATATTAACCCCTAAAAATGAATAAAAAAAAAAAAACTGGATTCATATTTTACCAAGGATATTTAAGTTTACATATATTGATTATACCAAAAGGTCTAGTTATCTCAAGCATCATCCATCATTCAGAGTTGACATTGCTTAACTTTGGTTGTCATACAGGAATTGTTGATTCAACATGATATGGCCAAAAACTATACCACCTGCACATTTAAGCTTACAACAACTGTTATTTTTTAGTCACCTGTTTAGATACTGACCAGGCTCATTGTTACTTAACTCTGGTGATCGTAAGGTAACTGGTGTTTCAACATGATGTGGTCAGATCTATCTATCTATCTATCTATCTATCTATCTATCTATCTATCTCAGTCCTTTTCATTTATCTCAGTCCTTTTCATATCTATCTCAAAATATTTTCATATCTATCTATCTCAGTCACTTTTCAATCTATTTATCTATCTATCTATCTATCTATATCTATTATCTATCTATCTATCTATCTCAGTCCTTTTCATATAAATCTATCTATCTATCTATCTATCTATTATTCATCAAACACCTTTTCATATCTATCTATCTATCTATCTATCTATCTATCTATCTATCTATCTCAGTCCTTTTCATATCTATCTATCTATCTATCTATCTATCTATTTATTCATCAAAGTCCTTTTCATTATCTATCTATCTATCTATCTATCTCAGTCCTTTTCATATCTATCTATCTATCTATCTATCTATCTATCTATCTATCTATCTATCTATCTATCTATCTCAGTCCTTTTCATATCTATCTATCTATCTATCTATCTATCTATCTATCTATCTATCTATCTATCTATCTATCTATCTCAGTCCTTTTCATATCTATCTATCTATCTATCTATCTATCTATCTATCTATCTATCTATCTATCTATCTATTCATCAAAGTCCTTTTCATATCTATCTATCTATCTATCTATCTATCTATCTATCTATCTATCTATCTATCTCAGTCTTTTTTATATCTATCTATCTATCTATCTATCTATCTAGATACTGACCAGTCTCAGTATTGCTTAACTGCAGTGATCATACAGGAACTGGTATTTCAACATGATGTAGTCAGAAGCCTGGAAACAGATAGATATGAACAGAAATAAATAGATAAATAATGAACAGACTGAGATAGATTTCAGTCGACTGAAGGGAAATATGATCTGAAGGCGATACAAGATATGTTGAATCATTGCAATTAATCTTTTCATTGATCAAACGAGTTCTCGCAACAAAACAGAAACGGATCCTATCGGTTGCCAACATTTGAGTAGAAATTTCCATTGTAATAATTAAGCCGAAATCAATTCCACATTCTCTGTGGAGAATTTGGTTGAAGTTCTTCTTCTCCATGCTATTATTTGTCCAAAACAATCCCCGCATCCAGACTTTGAGACAATCTAAACAGTCTGATGATGAATCCAGATTATTAGTGTCCCTGGCTCAAATCCAGCCCTAATACAGCTAAACCATGAATGATTAATAATGCAGTTGCCACTGCATTTGTTTTTCACTTCGAATCAGGATATATACATTTTCAAATAATGATTGTTTGCCAAAAATGCAAAATCAAAAATAAAAAAAAGTTCAGAACGGCATTAAGAAAACAAGAAAAGTTATGCAATGACCAGTATTCCTGCAAATCTGCCAAACATACATTTATTTATTTTTTTTTAATCTTTTCCTTCCACTAAAGCCATGATAGCAAAAGGGGGTGCTGAAAAGAATAAGAAAAAAAAGAGAAACACTATTAAGGAGCAAGAACAATAAAAAGAGGAGGAATCAAGAAGACAGTAGATAACGATTGACATTGCATTTGAATTTTTGAAGATCAAAGTTGACTAGAAAGCATCATGCTGGAAGAGTGTTCCACAAGCGAGAAGTGCAAGAAAATAAAATTTTAGCATCAAGTTATGGTTATATAAGCCAATTCAACTGTAAATCAATGAGACCTTGCTGCCAATCTAGTACTGCACTTAATTTAATAAAGTCAAGTTACCATAGTGAAGAGTTCATTCAAACATTTACCATGAAAATATTAATAGAAAAGGCAGAGGTAAACAACTTTACAGTGATGGGAAAGTGACTGAAGCCGAGATGCCAGGTCAGGACCAATAATATTGTTGATTCATCTTTGGATTTTATAAAGAATCTCTAAATAAATAGCAGGAGCAGTGGACCATATGTGGCAGCAATATTCTAAGCATGGCCAAATGGTAGACTTATATCTATCTATCTATCTATCTATCTATATATATATATATATATATATATATATATAAAACAGAGGATGTCTGTGTGTCTGTCTGTTTGCGTGATACCTTTTCACTCTAGATCCATCCAACGGATTTTGACCAAACTTAGCACATACCTTGTACAATGTAAGAAATAGGTTCTTCGTGTAAAAAATTGATAATTTTTAAAAAATCGATGATTGATAAAGCCAATCAAAAATCAATAAATTCAACTTTTTTCCTCTGATTTTGTTCAAACTTGGTATGTAGGTTACTTACATCATGATGAGCTCAATGATACCTCATTTTTATTTCTATGCCACTGCATTTCGTGAAAAACTGCGAAAATGAAAAATCGATTTCAACACAAATTTTAAACTAAAAACTCCCTCAATTTTCAAGCAATCTAATACAAACTTCACTCAATTGCAGCCTACAATAAGTTCATTGTTTAATAGTCATTTAACTTAATTGAGCCCCCCCATATAGTGAAAACCTGTGTAAATAGTGAAAAATGGAGATTTTTATTGGTTTCTTTCTTATTTTTCGTTGGTCTTTCAACTAATTTTCATCAAACTTAGCAATTGCTTTATAAATGTATCCCCTTTTACATCCCTGGTAGCACACTGACAAATTGAATTTCAAAAATTCCAAAATAATTGTGGTCTGAAGTGGGTCTTCATGTTGCCTGTTTTATCCCTTCATGTCCTTGACTAACTTTGATTAAATAAATACAGACTACTTCTGTTATATCAGTAATAGCATTAATTCAAAATGTTTTTTTAATGAAAGTACTTTAAAGTAATTGAAGAAGATAGACGCTATTACATCTAAACATGATGCTATTTTTGCTCCATTCTAATTGAACGCTTTTTCTGCTCAATCAGCTGGCTATAACTGCTAGTGTAAAATAAATGAGTTCTCTCAGACAACTAAAAGAGAGCAATTTCATTTTGGTTGCGTTAACATTGGATATAAAATGATATGTATAAATAAACTGAAATAGATCGGCAGGTAGATATATAGATCAACATGAATAGACAATAGAGAAAAATTGCCTAGCATGACATAGTGAACTTTCTTAGCAGCAGACCTAGCAATGGATTCAAAATAATTTTTCCACTTCATGTCAGTGAGAGCATTAGCCCAAGAAGGGGCAATGAGATATCTATCCTGAAGTTTAGCATCTGTCATGACGATAAGACTAAGAAAGGAGTCTGTCTGATGATTAGTAGCGAGAAGTTTCATTTTGGAGGCATTAAAATTAATGTGCCATTTCTTGCCCCAATTAACAGTAGATCCAATGTCACTTTGACTATATTTGAATTGATCAGACTTACTATCAAGACAGGAGTAAACAGATGTGTCATCAACATAGATACCAAGTTGAGAACTGATTCCGGTCTATTCATGTTGATCTATATATCTACCTGCTGATCTATTTCAGTCCATTTATACATATCATTTTATATCCAATGTTAATGCATCCAAGATGAAATTGCTCTCTTTTATTTGTCTGAGAGAACTCATTCTGGTGGTAGAAAAGTAACCACAGCTGAGACGCCAGGTCAGGACCAATAATATTGCAGATTCTTCTTTGGGTTTTATCAAGAATTTCTAAATATACCACAGGAGCAGCGGACAATACATGGCATCAATATTCAAAACATGGTTGAACGGAGTAGATTTATAAATATGTAAGATGAATTCTGGAGAGAAAAATTGTCAAGCACAATACAGTGAACGAATTTTCTTTGTAGCACACTGGGTAATGGATACAATATCATTTTTTATTCATCTAATCTATCTATCTATCTATCTATCTATCTATCCCAGTCTGTTCATTATCTATTCATCAATCTAAGTCCATTTCATATCTATCTATCTATCTATCTATCTATCTATCTATCTATCTATCTATCTATCTCAGTCCTTTTCATATCTATCTATCTATCTATCTATCTATCTATCTATCTATCTATCTATCTCAGTCCTTTTCATATCTATCTATCTATCTATCTATCTATCTATCTATCTATCTATCTATCTATCTCAGTCCTTTTCATATCTATCTATCTATCTATCTATCTATCTATCTATCTATCTATCTATCTATCCCAGTCTGTTCATTATCTATTCATCAATCTAAGTCCATTTCATATCTATCTATCTATCTATCTATCTATCTATCTATCTATCTATCTATCTATCTCAGTCCTTTTCATATCTATCTATCTATCTATCTATCTATCTATCTATCTATCTATCTATCTATCTATCTCAGTCTGTTCATTATCTATCAATCTAGCTAGCTAGCTCAGTTTGTTCCTTATCTATCTATTTGCATACGTACAGAAATTATCATGAATGAAATATTGGTCATCATGGCTTTCCATACATATAGTAATTATTATGAACAAAATAGTTTCCATAAATGTAGCAATTAGTATGGATTAAAAAAAGTTTTTGTTGGCATTTTCAATACATATAATTATACCAACTGAAATATTTTAATAAACATTTTTTAACTGGCAACTTTTTATTTTATTTTCACAGACGGAACAAGCAACTTGGAATTACAAAAAAGTTTGGGTGGCTTTTGAAAACCAGAAGGTAAGAAATTTGATTTTGTTTATTTTTTTTCTGCCTCTCATTTTTAAAACAAATCTTAATTATTAATTAATTAATTAATTCCAATCTTTTAATAATTATTTTTCAGCTAGTTTATCTTTCATGTTTTATTTTATTTTATTGTTTGGTAACTCCACCTGATTACCTAAAAGCAAAGCCTTATAAATCTGTCTTCACTGGTAACAGCCAGGAGTGAATCCACCCCCGCCTCCTCTGTTGGCCTTCTGCTCAAGGCAACCTCCTACATTTTGTCACCCTCAGGTTGTTTTAGTTTATTGCCACACCCAAGCCACATTACATTATATTATGAGCCATCATGGAACTGAAATAAATAAAAAAAACTGATTGCATCCACTGAGATTTGAACTTGCATCCTATATCTTTAGACTGATTGTTTGATTCATTTTTCTATGGTTATTTAAAGCCAGAAAACAGCTTTACAGTCTGTCTATATAAAGAAGGTGAGTTCAATTCCTGGTTAAGGCAATGGAGAACTTTCAGAGGGAAAATTAGCAGGAGATAACTGATAACTGACATCCATCAAACATGGCACGTGGAACTAGAACAGTCTACCCCAGTGATCGAAATAAAAGGTTCAGTTCGAAATTCCAACCACCTGAAGAAGGCCAGAGCGTACAACGGCCGAAACCTTGTGACAAATATGGCGACAAAGATGAGGACAATAGTCCGACTAATGTAAATACTGTAAACAGCTTTACATTCTAAGAATTTTTTTTTTGCAATAATAAGAATTTAGCAATACAAGTCTTACTAATTAATTAATCCATAGCTAGGGCGAGAAGAAGTGGATTCATACCTAATCAGAATTTGATAAACAAACAAGAAATTATATTGCAGATACAAAGTGGGGGATCAATTCTATATTACAATCAGTATGCAAACTGATCCCTCACTTTGTGACCTATGTAGTTTCTATACATTTATATTCCCGAGAATGTATTGTAAATAAATCTAAACGACATGTCTGTGTAGATAATCAATATTTCATTGATTGATTTTGCAGGTTATTTAAAGCCAGGAAATATTTTTAGGTTCTAAGAATTTTTTAAAAAATAATAATGTTTCAATGATAAAAGTATCAATGATAATTAACCCATAGCTAGGGGGAGAAGAGGTGGATTCATACCTTTCCCAAGGTTATTTAAGTGTAACTCAGTGGGAATTGAAACTCGGCTATATATTTAACAATTCCAAGGCATTATCCATTACGCCACTCACACATCCACGTTTACAGTGCCTGATATTCACAAGCAGTCATCCATGTAGGTATTGAATAGAATTGATGTTGCTTAACTTCAGTGATAATACAGGATCTGGTGTTTCAATGTGATGTGCCTGTAAGCCATATATCCTTAAGAGGCCATCTGATATAGATAATACCTTACAGCAGAATATCAAACATTTGCTTGCAAATTCGATTTTGTCTGTGTTTATTCTTACCTGTGTGTCAGTTTTATTACAAGCAATTTTTTAATAATGTAATTTATTTATTTATTTAACTTCTCAACAGAAAACATCAGACAGAAAAACAATTTTATTATTTAATTAGGGAAAAGACAATGAAATCAGGCATGGCTGATCATGTATGAAGGGAGAAAGATAGTCACCAACCTCTGTGGAGGGAATTAAAAATACTAGACTGAGAAGATACTGAAGAGTCAGATAATTGAAAAAATTAGTTTATATGTTTGGTCATGGAACTGGGCCTCTTTAGTTGGCCAAGTATAAAAATAAATATGATATGGAAGCTGGTAATAAATAAAAGAAATTACAAGATGTTAATGGAAGCAGCAGTAAGATAAAGAAGCCATGATGAAAGCAACCAAGCAGGCCATCAAAACCCTAGGTTCTAGCTTCAGGATTGTTCTATTTAGCAATAACCTAGTGGATTGAAATTTTGGTTCATGAATTTGCAGGTTATTTAAAGCCAGAAATTTTTTTAATTCCTATTTGTATATTTTAAAAAAAAAGAAAAAAAAACACGTCTCTGTATAAAAAAAATCATTGGTTAGATCCAGTGACTAGACCCAAAGAGTTGTGAGTTCAATACCAGGCCACAGCAATGGTGAACCAAAACTTGGAACGTTGGGTTAAAAAGAAATAACTAAGACATCTGGAAGAGGCATGGCATGTGGAACTAAAACAATTTACTTTGGTGGCTGAAATAAAGAGTTCAGTTCAAAATTCCAATCACCTGCAGAAGACTGGAATGTACAGCAACCAAAACGTTGTGAATATGGCAATGAAGATTAAGATAACAGTTCGAATAATGTAAATAATGTAATTTTTTTTTTTTGAGATAATAACAATTTAGTGATACAAGTCTAACTAATTACCCCATAGCTGTGGGGAGAAGAAGTGGGTCCATACCTTTCCCAAGGGTATTTGAACGTAAATGAATATAATGATAAAAGTTTGAAAATATAAATTAAGAGGAAATCCCTTAATTTTTCACCGTCAGTCTGGGTATAAATATTACCAAGGTGATTATAGAGAAAAGTTAAATGAATATAATGATAAAAGTTTGAAAATAAGGGGCCAAGAGGACTTCCCTTAGTGACACCGTCAGTCTGGGTATAAATATTACCAAGGTGATTATAGAGAAAAGTTAAGAAAATCAAAAATTTGGACCATATTTCTTGTTGTTATTTTTTTTTTTCGGAAATGAACTTTTTTTTTTACAGTAAGGTTCACTCTGTACAAGGTCTGCGAGATATCGATATAATAATAATGTAGGCAGTTTGTATGGATAGCAGGGGAAGATGATGGTTAAACCTAGACCTGAACTGGCTAAGATTGTAGTGATTAGGGAAAAATCTTCTTGGGAGTCATTTCCACAGAGTAGTGGTTTACTGGAAGCTGTTCAAGTAGAACTTACTTTTCACCAATGGAATACGGAGAGAAAGAGGATGCTATGCTACAATGTAAGTAGCATGGCAACTCCTTGCCATGAAGGTTAGAATTGGCAGATTCAAAGAATGTAGTTCGTCCAAGAACTTTCCATTGAAGCAGTGAAAGAGAGATTGGAGGCTGGAGAATAATTCAGAGAATTTCTAATGGAATTTCCTCCTTATCTGAGAATGATCAATCATAATTTAGAAAACCCGAAATGTAAAATTAATCAACACAAAATATATGTTGTTTTTAATAATATTTCCTTTAAAGAACACTTACAGCATAAATGTGCTGTATTGAAATTAGATACAGTTGGTTCGAATTGCTTGAGTTATTTATCAAAATGCTTCAAAATGTGTAGATCAATGATTCCCAACCTGGGGCACATGACCCACCGGTAACATTATGGTAATATATTATTTTTAAATGTGTAGGATATATATATTATATATAATATACCAACAGAATAAGAAAAAATTGGAGAATGTAGTTATTAACAGTGAATTGTTTTCTAGTGAGCTCAAATTTCATTTTGCATTATTATTTCATGATTAAAATGCACAAAGTATATTACAGAATAAACTTTCATTCAAATATTTTATATTTCTGCCTTTCAGTTCTCTATTATATGTTTTGAAACTATATATTTAATTGTCTTTTTGTTTTTTTTTATTTTTTCTCTTTCATGGATACCATCATCTTTGAAGGCTTGTTTAACAGACCAAAAATAAAAATCGGTTGTAACCACTGGTAAAGATATTTAATGAGATACCCTATATATATATATATATATATATATATATATATATATATATATATATATATATATATATTTATATATATATAATCCTTCTTTTATGCATGTTTCATTAAAAACGACAGACAAGGTACTACGGTTAAGCTTTTTATTTAATTTTTCTTGTGTTCGAACAAGAGCTTTCTTTTCTGGACAAAGGGTGTGTAAGAACTGTCCAAATGTTTTATATTTCCGAGCGCTTTTGGCTATATTTTTAGCCATTATCAAGGATGATTCAATTTTTCAGCTTAACTGAGTGTGTGTGTTCTGTGTATCTCTTAGTGTGTGGTAGGGATGTTTTTAATTTCCGAATACGGTTAGCACATTGCGGCCTTGTTCATAGTTAATATTGTTAAGAGTTGGCCTTTTCTTTTTTATTATTAAAGCTTCCATTATTTTTAGACTTTTTTTGCAGGTGGATGCAGTTAATATATTTGTGTTTTCTACTAGTATATTCCTAATAGAGTCTGGTAAATTTGTGTGTGTGTTTAAATGGGTTCTAATGGAGCTGTGATCAGATAGGTGTAACGTAAGACACCTGGATAAGCATGTGGTTGTGTAACCGATGTAATTATTTATGAGTCCAGTTTGATCAGGAACACAGGGGCATTTGAACTCATAGATAATATTCATTCTTTGTAATTTTGACTAAGCTGGTGTGTTATTTTTGAGGATAAGGTTAGCAGTCTTCAATTTTTTGTAATAAATAATTAATTTTATTTTTTTATTCACGTCAATTGGAGTAGTATATTTCTTTATAATATGCCTTAGAGAAGATTCGTCTTGTTTGTAATTAATATGCATTTGGTTTTTGTAATAAATGTGTATGTGATTTTTTTATTTGTGTGTTCACTATCATTGTTATTTACTTGCTTTTATGTTCAAAATAGTCTAATTTAATTACATCAGTAAGAATAACCATTTGATTATTCAAACATCTGTTTTAGTACACCTTTAACTGATCATTAAAGGATGATTATGGTGTTTAAAAACGCAAAAATTTAATAAATTCAAATGGAATTAGTAGAAAAAATACAAATATATAACAATTTTCCACCGGCAAAAAAAAAAAAAAAAAAAAAATTTTAATTTAATAATAATTCAAGTAAAAATCCAAATATAACAATATTAATCTATGAATGGAAGCCAGAATTTTTTTTTTAATATTATTCAGAAATTAAAATATCCCTAATTCAAAAAGAACATTTTTTATAAATTTCTTTAACTCAATTAATTTTTTTTAAAAATTCAATCATCCTTATTAATGGCTAAATAAAGATAGCCAAAAGTGAAACAAAATGAAATATTTATTTTTTTACATTTTTATACATTTTTTAGTCCAGAAAAGAAAGTTCTTGTTAGAACATAACTCCAATTAAATAAAAACTGCTTAAAATCCTCTTTGTCTGTCATTTTTAATGAAATATTTTTTTTAAATGAATAAATAAAAAAAAATTTGAACATATATATATAAATTCCCTATCTGAAAATTAATAATGTCTTAAGAAATAAATAAATAAATAAAAAAAAATTAAAAAAGTTTCTTTTAATTGGTTAATTTAAACATAAAATTTATTTAAACTGCATCCTATAATAGTTAACTTCTAAAATGCATATATATTAATATAATATAAACCCATTTATATAAAAAATTATAATTGATATATTCTAATATTATATAAAAAAATTGTTTAAAATACAATTATTATAAATAACATTTACTTAAAATATTTTCGGTATCTATAAAAAGAATAAATAAACATTGAAAAATGTTTTTAAAATAATTGTTTAATAATTTGATAATGTGTGACGTTATTTGTTTACATTTGGATAAAAATTTTCAAATATTTTTATATTCATGTATGTGAAGAATCATGAAAATTGTATATTTAAAAGACAATGTAAATTGACCTTTAATAACCAAATGCTTTCTGTGATTATCTTTGTTAAGACATGTCATCTATATGAATAATTCCATATAGGATAATAAAAAAAATCTTCAAGTCGGGGAAATATTTTCTATGAAAATTTTCGGATATTCAGGCTGATAAATGTTTTTTATACTAATTTATTATAAACAGAGCATTTAAATAAATATTTGTATCTATAAAAAGAATGTATAAACATAAAAAAATGTCTTAAAATAATTATTGGGCTTTTTCCATTTCATTTTGAAGAAAAATAACGTTATTTGTCCTGTCAAGGGCATTTAATATTTTCGATGAAAAAAGTTTGGACATTGAGGCGGAAATAAATGTTGTTTAATACTGTTTATTAAAAACATAGCCATTAATTAAATATTTTTATCTATAAAAAAATGTTTAAACATAAAAAAAACGATAAATATATATATATATATATATTTATATATATATAAAGAAATGATGGATTTTTAATTAATTATCTGACAGATTTTGTTTAAAATTATTTTTATCTATTTGGACACCCATATCTGATTATTAATTAAACAGCACATACTTATTTTTGTCTATTGCTCTGAATGTTTGGGAAATCTTATTAAATAGGCACTCTTCGGCATGATTCATACTTTCATCCTCCTTGGCACTATTTGACTTTGCTTGTTCAACAATGCACTACATGGCTGAGTCAGTCTAAAATATGTCAGAGTTTACAATGATTTCTGCTGCCAAGGAAGGTGCAGGTTCAAATCCTGCTGGAGTACACATATATTTCTTTAGTAAATTTTATCAAATATTCAGGACAGTAGACAAAAATTTTTTTTAATTTTGTGAGATTTTTTTTTCATGAGATTATATTTTAAAATCAAAATTGTGCTTTTCTTTTTTTTTTCTATGTATGACTAGTGCATTAGTTGTTTTTTGTGAGGTCTTGTTTGTGATCACAAATATTAATCTACTAATGTTTGCTTTATGAACTTTGTATCAAATTTGCTTCAGGACAAAACAGCACAAATCATTTCATATTGATCTGAAGATGATATGAGAAAATCATTGAAATATCTTCTTTTTTTTTTCCCATTTCAACAGCAATCAAAACTACGTGAAGGACTCAAGCCTTCCTTGCTAATCAGTATGTTTTATGCATCCTGGCCTGCAATTCTTTGGGGTGGTGTTCTTCGTTTGACTGCTGACCTCTTGGCCTTTATTGGTCCATGGTGGATTGAAGATATTCTAGATTATTGCAACCAGTTCCATAAGCCACAGTCAGACAATGTTATCCAGAATGCGTCCACATTAATGTCTGCCGCAGTATAATTTAAAACAGCTGTTAGGAGATGTGGTCAAAAAATTGCAGCTTCAACATACAGTTTCACAAATAAGACGATAACAGAGTCAGTTGCAGAGACAATAAAAAGGGTAAGTCACATTAAGTCAATACAATATGTACTAAAGGCAATTTAGCAAATTCATACACAAGCTAATAGAACAAGACTTACAAGGTTATCCAGTTCTATCTTTCCAAGGTGGAACAAGTTTTTTTTCTTACATTTGTACTCAAACACACCTGGACATTTTCCATTTTCTTGAGACACTGTCCAAATGTGTCATTTATTGCCAAGCAGTAGAGGAAGTTCTATGTGTTCAAGATTTACTGTTGGCAGAAGATGACTAAACAGAATTTGTTGCAGTAGATTAAAATTACATTTTGCGTGAAGATTGGTAAAAGTGGGATTGACATTATTAACAATGTTTTATAGTGAACATGATTTGAAAAAAATTAGTTTTGTATGGCATAGGCAGTTCAAGAAAGGGAGAAAATATATGCAGGATGATGCAAATATGAACAGAGTGCACTCAAAACAAAAAACATTTTTATCAATGTCAGAAAACTGAATATTATGAATAGGAAAACATGCAGCAGATTCTAACATTTTTATTTGTAAATAAGAAAGATTTTTAATAATATTGCAAGTTCACGGTCAATTAATTTTAAATCCGTTAACATGATGAGCCATCCATCTTATTTGCTTAAAAATATCTCCCTGTGATGTTTTATTTATTTTTTCATTTTTTTTTTTCTCCCCAAACAAATATAAAGGGGTTAAAAATTTTAGAGAATATGAGAAAAAAAACTATTAAGGAGAGAGGACAATAAAAAAAGAAGATTTAAGAAGACAGAAGATAATGATTGACATTGCATTTAAATTTTGAAGATCAAAACGCAATAAAACCACTAGGACGCAAGGGGTTACTGAAAATTAAATAGAATATGAAAAAACTACTTGATTAAGGAGAGAGGAAAATAAAATTTTGAGAAGAATTAAGAAGACAGAATGGATATAAATTTGACATTGCATTTTAAATGTTTGAAGATCAAAGGCAATAAAAAACTAGGAAATAAAGGGGTTACTGAGTGTTAGAAATATTTGAAAAAATAAAACTATTAAAAGAGAGAACAATAAAAGAACAAGAATTAAGAAGACAGAAGATACTATTTGAATTTTTAAAGATCAAAGCTGACTGGGAAAGAAGAAGTCATAAGTGAGTTCCACAATCAAGAACTGTGAGAGAAGAAACTGTTAACATAGAACTTACAGCTGCATCTTGCCTTTTTAAGTGTAAAATGATGAGACCCTACTGCCAATCTGATACTGCACTTAAATTCATAAAATCAAGGTACCATAGAAGAAAGTTCATCAGAACAATTGCTATGAATGTATTTATAAAAAAGGCACAGTGAAGCTACGTTACAATGGTGGAAAAGTGACTGAAGCTGGGATACCAGAGAATCCAATATGGCTACTTTTTTTAAAGGAAAAATGCTTTGAATGGATGAAGATTTGCTGACATGCCTGGACATCCAGCAACATGCAACTGCATTACTGAACAGTATTTCAGGAAACAAGTTCCAAGAATATTTCCAGCAATGGCACCATCATCTCCCAAAGTGTATAGCTTCAGTAAGGTGGGACATTTTGAATGTGACAGCAGCCAAAAATGAGCAGGTAAGCAAACTTAACTGTCACAGGTTCATTCCTTTTCCACTAGTGAGAAAAGTTATTTTATCAAGCCACATTAAACTACCTTTTTTTAATCTAGCCACAACCTCACCACACTTTATTCTCTCTCTTCTCACCAGACAAAGGTGGTACTGTTTTGGTTTCCATTTTCTTTTTTTCTCTTTTTTTTTATTACTTTTTCTCTCTTTCTCATACCCACCTGGTTTTTTCTAATTCTTGCCAACCAAGGCTAGGGAGTCCAGTTTGCTTTACAATCAGCAACTAATTGGGTAGAAAAGATGAATTCGTACTTTCCAAGGGCATTTACACTAAAACTCAGGTCACAGATTACATTTTCCACACTGATAATCATTAGTTGACTTTTCTCCCTTTATCTCCCTCTCTCTCTTTTCCTCTACCTTTCTCTCTCTCTCTCTATTTCTCTCTTTGTCATTTTCTCTCTGTTTCTCTTTCACTTTCTCTTTGCTTTATCTCCTTCTCTCTCTGTGTTTGCTTCTTTCTTTCTCTCTGTTTCTCTCTCTATCTTTTTTTATCTGTTTCTCTCTCTCTGTGTCTGTTTCATCCTTCCCTCTTTTTTCTCTCTCTCTATTTCTATCTCTTTCAATCTGTTTCTCTCTCTCTGTCAGTTTCTTTCTCTCTCTCTCTTTTTCTATTTCTCTGTGTTTCTCTCTCTCTCTCTCTCTATATATATATATATATATATATATATATATATAGTTTATGAAAAACTAGGTAATCCGTATGGGTAAACCTAAAGAGGATAAAATCCAGAGAGCTCAATGTAAATCCAGAGCAAATAATTTAAATATAAACAGACCACTTTAAGGTTCCATATAATAAATTATTTCACCACAGCCCTTTTTAAAGGCTCTGCTCATCAGACTTTATATATATATATATATATATATATATATATATATATATATATATATATATATATATTGGATAAAAACAGACCACTTTATATTCCATGTAATAAATTATTTCAACACAGCCCTTTTTTTTTGTGCGGATCATCATACTTTTTCAAAAAAAAAAATAATATTTTTTTTTTTGGGGGAAAGTAAAGTCTGATGATCCACAGTCCTTTTAAAAAGGGCTGTGATGAAATAATTTATTACATGGAACCTTAAATAGGTCTGTTTTTATTTAATAAATATATATATATATATAAATATAAAATGAACATAGAAATTAACACTTAGAGGCAACAGTCTGTCGCCTCTAAGTGTTGACTTCTATGTTCACTTTATATTTACATATAACTCTGATATTGAGCACTTTATGCCATAAATATAGCAAAACCTTAAGACTATATTTTTCATATATATATATATATATATATATATATATATATATATATATATATATATATATATGGTTACCTTAAGCATGGAGAATAGAACCACAGCCTCACCAATCTAGGTGTTTCTGTTGGGGTAGCCATTGTCATCTCTACTCTCAATTAGTATTCAAATCAGAGTTGCCTTTTTTCCCAGAGTGGTTGCAACCAAATCTCATGTGCTGGTGTTGGGATGTTTGACCTGTTATTAAACCATAGCTGTGGAGGAAAGAGATGGATTCATGCCTTTTCCCAAGAATATTTGTGAAAAAGTGGTTGTCAATAACTCAAACTCGGCTGGAATCATTGACTCATAGGAATAACAGAAACTAATATTTTGAAAAATTTGGCCTTTGACTTATTCTATGATAATTTTATATCCTTGTAATTGTTGGCCCTCAAGATCGATAAGGACCAACATTAATCAAAAAGTTGGCCTTCTACTAATTCCATGATAATTTTGATTCACACATCAATTTCATAGTCTGTCTATATTTTTGAGATGATGTATTATGTACATTATTTACATTATTCAGACGATTGCCATATTTATCACAACGTTTCGGTTGTTGTTTATAATACCCAGAAATTCATACCCAGATGTCCTCAAGGACACATGGCACAGTGGATAAAGGCGTTGGTTAGATCCAGTGACAGGATCCAAAGAGTGTGAGTTCAATACCCAGTTAAGTGGAGAACTTTCAGAGTGAAATTAGCAGGAGATAACTGACATCCATCAAACATGGCACGTGGAACTAGAACAGTCTACCCCGGTGAACGAAATAAAGGGTTCAGTTCGACATTCCAACCACCTGAAGAAGGCCGGAGCGTACAACGGCCAAAACGTTGTGATAAATATGGCGACAAAGATGAGGACAATAGTCCGAATAATGTAAATAATGATCAATTTCATACTCTCAAATGTTGTATCCATATAATTGTTTACTCCCCCTCCAAGAAAGACAAGGATTAATAAATTACTATTTATTTATTTTATTAATTAGATATCTGGTTAAGTATTTCAATTTATTAGAAATTAATTAATGTTGATTGCCCAAGCCAGATATTTATTTAATTATTTTTTTTTTTTTCGTTCTCTCTTTATGGCAATTTTCACCTGTGATGGCTCAGGATGTTTTGACAGTTACAGTAAGCGAATTCTTCTCCAATGGCTACATCCTGATCACGTTCATCTTTATCATCATGTTGGTGCAGTATGTCATGGCTGAATACCATTTCTTCATCATGATCCGTGAAGGAATGAGGATGAAGGCAGCAGTGCAGGTGAGACTCTCAAAGATTCTTGTAATTGATATCTTCTTGGATCATTCACACCCCATTCTTCTATGTGTTGTGTCTCTTTTTCTGTCATGTGTATTTCTTTGTAAGCTTAGTCTTTTTGCCATCTCACCTAATCCTGTTCTGTCGACTATTTACACCAATGGATTTGGTTCAAAATTCCAATCACCTGAAGAAGGCCAGAGCATACAACGGCCAAAACGTTGTGAATATGGCAATGAAGATGAGGATATCAGCCTGAATAATGAAAATAATGTAAAAGTTTTAAATTAATTTAAGTAAATGCTCTGTTTATAATAAAATAATTAAACAACATTTACCAGCCTAATATTCATAAAATTTTCATAAAAAATATTCGTCCTCCGACAAGAATCAAACCTGTATCCTATGAAAACCGTCATATAGCCTGACGTGCCTTTAAAAATTGTAAAATCGACCTTGCTAACCAAACGATCCTCTGTGTCCCAATTGTTAAGGCAATTCATATGACGGTTTTTTGTATAGGATACAGGTTTATTTGTTTCGATTAAAATTTTTTCTATAAAATTTATTTTTATTTTGGCTGGTAAATGTTGTTAAAAATTTATTATAAACAGAACATTTACTTAAATATTTGTATCTATAAAAAGAATGTATAAACATAAAAATGTCTTAAAACAACAATGTATTTCTTTTTGTCATCTGTAAAGTTGCTGACCTGAACTATTTTTTAATATATATATATATATATATATATATATATTAATTGGTATCACCCCAAGCAAGGCAGTACAGCTACTAACACAAAAGGGGTTACAGGGTGTGAAGGAATTAGGAACAGAAACATTAGTAATGAATAGAAAGAGAAAAGAGCAATCAGGAGGACAGCAGATAGCAATTAACATTACATTTAAATATTTGAAGATTAAAGTTGGCTGGAGTTCCACAAATGAGAGGTGTGAGAAAAAAAACTGTCAACATAGAAGTTATGGTAACTCAACTGTAAATTGATTAGATCTCATTTCCACTCTAGTATTTTGCGCTTAAATTCTTACAGTCTAGGTACCCTACTGAATAGCTCATCTGAACAATTAACATGAAAGTATTTATAAAAAAGGCACAGAAAGGCAACCTTACAGCAATGGGCCAAGCTGCCAGATCAGGACCAATAATATTGCTGATTTTTCTTTGGATCTTATCAAGGAGTTTCTTAGCAGCTGATCTAACAATGGATTCAATGTAGTTTTTCCACCTCATATTAGCTGAGATCATTAGCCCAAGAAAACGCAATGAATTACTCTCTTGGAGGATAGCATCAGCCATGCAGATGAAAGGCAGAGAGAGGTCTCTCAAAGGTTTCATAGAGAGAAGTTTAGCTTTTGGAGGCTTTAAAATTACAAACTATCTTTTGCCCTAGTTAACAATGGTCTTGAGGTCATTTTATATCTATCTTCTCTGTAGCTGAATTGTATAGCACATCAGATCAAATGACAGTTTCTGTATAGGAATACAGGTTCTATACCTGCAGGGGAACACATATTTTTTACAAAATTTTCTGAGTAAATGTAATTAATACTGTTTAATTAAAGAAACAGAGCATTTACTTAAATAAATTGTATCTATAAAAATAACATATAAACAGAAAATATATTAAATAATTGTCTGACTTAATTCATTTCATATGATATATATATATATATATATATATATATATATATATATATATGAGGCATGGTGGATTGAGGAATTGGAGAGCCAAGTTTGAATTCCAATCGAATCCATTACATTCACTTTACGTGGAATACCCTTGGGAAAAGTTTGAATCCTTTTTTTCTTCTCCCCCAGCTATGGGTAAATAGCAAGACAACAAAAATATAGCCTTGGATGGCAAAACTGTTTCTTTTAGAAGGACAACTTTGAATTCAAAACTTTGGAGGGACGTTTTTAATTTTTTCAATTCTAAAAACCAGGTCTCTGTATTCAAAATTAAACAATTTCCAAAAAATGGATGGTCCTGCACAAACCTTCACCACTATGATCTCATGTGCTGGTGTTTCTGGATGTTGGTTTCCTAGACCTTCATATGTCGAATTTAAGGACAGGAGAGTCAAATAGAGAGAAAATATATATATATATATATATATATATATATATATATATATATATATATATATCTATCTATCTATATATATATATATATATATATATATATACCACACACACACATTATTAAATATATATAATAAACCTAAATTTTTTTTTACAAACCAACCTATATCACCTATGCAGATCATAGGGTTTACCCTGAAAATCCGTGTAGGTGAAACCTAAGAATGTTTGTCTGGCTTTTTTTTTTATTATAAAATTTTTGCTCTACTTAGCATATTGAGCACTTTTATTAATTATTTTTACTTTTTTTTGTGTTGGAGGTTTTTTTCTTTTGGACTCTGAACTTAGATTCTAGACGATTATTTTCTTTCTTTTGAAATGCATGTTCTTAGTTCTTTCTTTTTTTACCCCTTTTTTTCCTTGGGTATTAGTTTGTTCATTTACAATCGTAAACAACTTAGGTTTGTCCAGACAAGTATAGCTGCTTATATTTATAAGATTATTAGTATTATATATATATATATATATATATATATATATATTTCTGCACATACACACACATGTATATGCACACCTATGAGAAGGTGTTGTAAAGTTCTTGACTGAACCAATTTTTTAAATCTGACCAAATAATTAAGCTCAAGAATTTTGTGGTCAGACTAAGAATTTTGAAAGGATAGATAACAGTGTCGGCATCATAACGTATCAATTTCTCCCTCAGTAACTAGACATCTACCTACCAACTTATCTTTGGAGGTTGGGTGGGTGGGTGCTGTGTGTGTGTGTTTGTGTGTGTCGTTTCAAATTACATGTGTTTATTAATGCATAAAGCCAGTCATGTGCAGTTACCTAATGCAAAGTCATGTTAACTGCAATCGTCTCATGTGTAGGCGGAAGCAGTGGCAGTGGCGGATTGTGGGCTGGGTGTACATTCTGGGCTCAGCTGGAAGGTAGTTACAAGAAGATGACATCATTTGTATGGACAAAAGCTGAAGAGGTAGTTCAGTGTTTGATGAAGAGGAGGAAAAAAAGGGGTACAGGAAAAGAGAAAGTGTGTGTTGATGAGAGAGAATTAAAATATATAGACAGAACAAGAGAAAAGTAAGAGGGAGGTATAAGTGAAGAGAGAGATAGGGGAAAAGGAGGAGATAGAGGAAAAAGAGCAAGAGAAGAAAAGTGGGGAGAGAGATGATCAAGGGAACTGATAGAGTGAAGAACAAGAGAAATGAAAGAGAGAAACGAGAGAAGAGAAAGATATTCAAGGAAAGAGAGAAAGAAAAAGAATACACAGATGAACAAGGGAAGAGCAAGAAAGAAAGAAAAGAGAAGAGAGAGAGAGAACAATAATTGAAGAGAGAGGCAGGCAAAGAAGAGAGTATATAGTGTGAAGAACAAGTGAAAGACAGAAGAATAGAGAGAGAAGGACAAGGTAACAGAGAGAGAACGAAGAACAATGGACGATACAAAGAGAGAACAACAAGTGTGTAGAGTGAAAAGGACAAAAAAATTGGCATCTATGCAGATGAACCACAATTTATCCCTGCCTCAAAAACAAATCTAGTGTCGCTGACAAAACTAACCTGGCCGTTTGTCTTGAAAAAGACCTCCAATCGGTTGTGAACTGGGGCAGGAATTGGCTGGTCAAACTTTAATGCCTCAAAAAAAAAACTGCTCTCTATTAATCACCACAGAGATCCTTCCCTGCCCTCCATTAGAATGTCTGACGCTCAACTTCTCAGAGCAACCTCTCTGCGGCTGCTCGGTCTCACGTTGACTGCTGACCTGAGATGGAACAAATACATTGAGTCAATTGCTTTGTCCACCGCAAGGAAAGTCGGCTCTCTGTGCCACACCAGGAAATTTTTCTCCCTAGAACCGATCCTTCAGATCTACAAATCAACAATTCGCCCTTGCATGGAGTTTTGCTGCCATATATGGTCTGGTGCCCCTACTGTTTGCCTCGGAGTTCTTGATAGGCTCCAGAGGCTGATATGCAATATAATTGGCCCTGTTCTGGCATCTCGTCTACAGTCGCTTTCTCACAGACGCGCCGTCGCCTCTCTCTCTGTCTTTTTTACAAATACTTTCATGGTAATTGCTCCGAGGAGCTGCATTCGCTGGTTCCCAGACTTCATGAGTTCAAGCGCCCTACGAGGCTGGCATCCTGCTCTCACCCTTTCACTGTCAAAACTGCTAAATGCAGCCGTCTCTTCTACTCCAATAGCTTCATGTCTTGCACCTCTCGCCTGTGGGACTCCCTTCCCTATTCCAGTTTCCCTGAGAGCTATAATCTCCAGCTATTCAAATGTAATGTCAATCGATATCTCCAGTTGCCTTGATCTATCCACTATCCTTCTCCTCATCCTTTCCTCTATCACTCCGATCTGATCTTGCTCCAAATTTTCTGTAACCCCTTGCAACCTAGTGGCTTCCCGCCTTGCTTGGGGTGAAACGCTTAAAAAAAAAAAAAAAAAAGCAATAAATAAAAAAATATTTTTAAATATTTCCTTTCTTGAAAAAGAGAAAGAACAAAATTAAGAAAGAAAGAAAGAGAATTAACAAGGAAATTTTTAAAGAACAAGGATGAAAGAAAAAGATTTTGTAAGGACAAGGTAACAATCAGATAAAATTGGATGATACACAGAGATTTATTTTAAGGAACAAATGAACAGAATGGTGAAAAAATGTCAAAGCTAGCCCTACAAGAAAAAAAAAAAAAGAGATCAGAATGAATTTTAGACATACCAATTTAACAGAGAGAGAGAGAGAGAAAGATAAAATTTAATGGATAAAACAGAGAGTTATTTCTTAAAAAGAAACAAAAAAGAAATTTTGTCAACAA